TGAAATTTTAGATTTATATGTTTACTTGGAATGTTTACAGCAAACAGGAAACTATAAAAGGGCTAGGGTAGGGTCAGGAGGAAGCATATATGTAAAATCAGAGGGGAATTCTGGAGGTAGTAAGGTATAATGGGAGGGGCATGGGGGAGGATGCGGAGAGGGCTAGTTAGAGATACAGTTGGTTTTTTGTTGTTGTTTTGTTTTGAAGTTTGAACAGAAATACCCTGCATGGGTGGATAATGTCAATCCCAGGAGACAGGGGTGACCAAATGGAAGTCGAAGAGCAAGGGGTGGGATGCCTTTCTATACGAGTTGCTGGTCAGGATGGTTCCAGAGACCTCTCAAAACACAAGCTATTGCCATTGCTCTTGATCACCTACCATAACTAGATGGTAAGCCCCTGCTGCAAAGACAACACCTGGAACTAAAGTGGAAACTTCCTCTCTGCTGACTAGCTTTCATAGTGCTGTGCAGGCAGCTGGGGGAGAAAAGTCATCACTGATCTTACCCAGTGCATACCAGGCTAGACCTTGCTTGTGCTCACTGGGATAATAGTGGAATGACGCTTGTGGGAGTAACCAATCACTTTCTGCTTTGTTTTTGGACTTGCTCCTTAGAGAATTCATTCCTGGCACTGTAAACCTGATTTAAAAAAAAAAAAAAAGGGAGCCATCATAAGCTATAGGGAGGGAATTTACTACTGTTGTTTTGACAAATGGATGTGGTATTAAACTGCCTTCTGTATTAGTCAGGGTTCTCTAGAGAAACAGAACTTATAGAATAAAAATATGCCAGTTGGTGGCGGCAGCACTTAGTCCCAGCACTTAGGAGGCATAGGCAGGTGGAGCTGAGTTCAAAGACTGAACTACAGCATGGACTACAAAGTGAGTTACTGGACAGCCAGGGCTACACAGAGAAACCCTGTCTTGAAAAACCAAAAATTAAAAAAATATCCATATATCCATATATACGTATGTATGTAAAGGGGATTTATTAGGATGGCTTAAAGACTGTGGTCCAGCAATGGCTATCGATAATGGAAAAATGGAAGGCCCAAGAATCCAATAGTTGCCCAGTCCACAAGGCTAGATGTCTTAGTCTTCAGTATATGCCAGAATCCTGAAGTAGGCTCCAATACCAGTGAAGGAATGGACTTACCAGTGAGAGCAAGGAGGTAAAGGGGGCAAGCCTCCTTCTACCATGTCCTTTATATGCACTGCCAGTAGAAGGTGTGGCCCAGATTAAAGACTCATCTTCCCAATTCAGAAGATCTGGAATAAAGTGTATCTTCCCAACTCAAAGATCAGGATTAGAAGTGGATCTTTCCACTTCAAATGATTTAATTAAGAAAAAAAAGTCCCTCACAGGTGTGCCCAGACATTTGGGTTTTAGTTATGTAGTCAAATTGACACCCAAGAATAGCCATCGTACCTTCTACATATTTTTATTTAGGAAAGTGCTTCTCTCAGCTTTGATCAGAGAGCTCCTCCCCCTCTTTCTCCCTTCCCGTCCCCGTCCTGGCAAATGGCAGTCAATGCAGAAGCTTATGCCTGCTCAAGATGATAAGAAAAAGTGACCGGTGAGTGTTCAGCCCTAAATGAGACATCTCTGTACCACCCCTTCAAAGCACAGGGAACATCACAGCAGTGGGTGTGGAAGGATTGTAAGTGTCAGATGACAGGGAGGAGGGGCGTAGAATGCTGTCTTCTGGGCATGACCTAGCCACTGCAGTCATGAACTCACAGAAGCTGTGGAGGCCGGCACTGGGACTGCTTGAGACTGGGGGCCTGTCAACATTCAGTCATGGGTGGAGAAGGGGCTCCCAGGCCCTATTTCTCCCTGAGGAAATACTGGCTGTCAACAGATGCCAGGGAGGGGTCAGTTAATGTCTTCAGTGGTGTAGCCACTGGTGAACCTCTCATGCTCCAGGGGATAGCTCCACATCCATGCTCCTACCACAGGCCATGGTGAGACTAAGTAGGTCACAAAAGAAAAGAGAGTAGTATCAAAGTGGGAGGGACTGATAGGGATGGAGGGAGGAGGAAGTATGAAGTAGATAAGGGGTCAGCAGTTACTGTAATCAGAATGTACTATATACACAGATTAAATTCAAAGAATACATTTAATAAAAAGGACAGAGGTGAGGTGAGCCTCACACTAGAGGTGAGGCTTCAGGGTCACTAGCTGTCGGTGGTGGAGGGAGCAGCAGCAAGAATACCAATGCCTAGGTTCAGAAACCACTGCCCAAAGCTGAGGAATCCTGACTTCCAGAGCCTATACACAAAGCTCTAACACTTGTCCAAGATTAAGGGTACCAGTATCAGAGCCCTATACAAGAACTTTAACACTAGAGGGCGACATCTGCTCCTGCCTGTAAACTGCTCCTGCTTGCTGCCATCAAACCCTGGGTGACACAATGGAAGGGCTTTTTATTTATGCAAGATTTGCATTCCCATAGCATTAAAAAAAAACAACCGGGCAGCTGATTAGTTACTTTCTACACATACCCAGTGTGCACACTCACACACATGCATGGAATCTCTACCTATTATAAGACACTGCTGTGAGAAATTAAAGCAGCTATAAATAAATGCGGAGTTAAAATGTGCTCATGGGTTGGAAGACTCAACAGCAGCAAGTAAATTCTTCCCAAATTGATTTACAGATTCAAAGCAGCTCTAAACAGAACTTAGCAGGCTTTCTGATAGGAAAGCTCACTCCAAAATTCACACGGAAACCCAAATATGAAAACAAAACAACTTTGAAAAAGAACACTGAAGAATTAAAAATATGGTTGACCACAGAAACAGCTGACCTGAACATCAGGGAACTCTTGCTCCTCAGACTGATAACTGGGATACCAGCATGGGACTGATCCAGACCCCAGGAACATGGGTTTCAGTGAGGAAACCTCGGAAATCTATGGGACCTCCTGTAGTTGTTCAGTACTTATCCCTAGCGCAGGTGTGGACTTTGGGAGCCCATTCCACATAGAGGGATATTCCCTGAGCCAAGACACACCGGGGTGGGCCTAGGCCCTATCCCAAAGGATACAATAGACTCTGATGACACCCTATGGAAGGCCTCACCATCCAGGGGGAGCAGAAAGGATATGTGATAGATAGGGTTTTAGTTGGGGGGGACGGTGGTAGAGGAGGAAGGGCGGGAGAAGGGAACTGGGATTGTCATGTAAAACAATCTTGTTTCTAATTCAAATAAAAAATCTGCAAAAAAAAAATGTTTGAAATTATGGATTACTGTAACCTGCATCAAATCTTTGCAGGGCTAGAGCTCCTCTTACATTTCTTAGCAGAGGTTATTTTGAATTTGGTAAGTTTGGTTTTGTAACTTCAGTGAAAAAAAATCACTCCATTTATAATAGAAAGAAACCTCGACTAGATTTTAACAACCCCTGTAAAATGACAGATGAATAGAAAGCAAGCATGAGGTGGTGCCCTACATCTGAGGAAATCACACTGCATTGATACCACCATTCAGCAAGATCCATGACTCTGACAGGGTGAACTAGCCAGGTATCTCTCAGAAGCAAGGCTACCAGCTAGAGTAGTCTTCATAGCAGCCACAGTAGCCTACTCTCTCGCAATGGATGCCAGCCCTTAGTGTAGCAGGCAGAGCTACACATGCTGTGCCTTTTAAAGGCACAGAGGATGCAAAGCTAGCTTTGCAGATCTCCTCACATTCACTGATGACACTATTTCATTTAAGTGGAAAAAATGAACCGTCCTAACACACACATGTGGGATCCTGCCATTGTATTATAACAGAACTTGGAAAGAAGTATGTAGACATTAAGGTCTTTAAATACACTTGGCCTGTTTGCTCATTATGTTCCTCCTCATTAGAGTGATACTCTGCAGTGACAGGACTTTGCCTATGCTGTGTGCTCTGATATTCCCAGCCTCCTCCAACAACAATGAAAAAAGTAAACTAACTGCAGAATAAATATTTTTTAATGAATAAATTATACCCATGCAAATATTTGTTATATAAATTTATGGCATCTATATAGACACTATGCCCAGGAAATAATGTAACAATCTCATGTAACCTTCTCTTTCTAAAACAATTTCTTTGATCAGATTAAGAGTTAATTATCTTTTCTTTATTCATACTGTTCATACTAAACAGAACCTCAACTTCCCAGCAAAGTGATAAGTGATTGGATGATTCCCCTCCCTCTCTTTGTTCTCACTGGTCTCTAACTCTCTATGTAGACCAGCCTCAGGCTGCCTTCCAATCTACAGTAATTCTCCTGCCTCTGCCTCCTGAACACAGGACTTACATGCATGTGACACTGCATGCAGCCTGTTTATGTCCTTTTTCTACAATTTCCTAAAATCTACACATACTCAGAATATAAAGGACAAGTGCTTTTTTAGAAAGCCAGCATCCTGGGGGCTGGAGAGATAGCTCAGAGGTTAAGAGCACCACCGACTGCTCTTCCAGAGGTCCTGAGTTCAATTCCCAGCAACCACATGGTGGCTCACAACCATCTGTAATGAGATCTGGTGCCCTCTGCTGGTGTGCAGATATACATGGAAGCAGAATGTTATATACATCATAAATAAATAATTAAAAGAAAGCCAGCATTCTATAAATTAATTAGAGCATGCTTTGCTTTCTTTTCACTGTTTGACTCTTTTTTTTTCTCTACCTGGAAATGCACCCACAGTCTTCTCTACAAACTAACCCATCTTCAATCAATCTTTCCAATTAAGAATCCTTTATCATATTGGTCATTGAAATCCTTCGATCTACTTTGATCACTAGATCACTAGATCAGAAACTCTTTCAAGTCAGGAAAAAAAATCAGTATGTTTTTGAATTTCGCACTGTTAAAAACATGATAGAAAATCCTTAGATGGCTGAACATAGTGAATTTTAGTAAGACTGAAGAAGCCTGAAGGTACAAAACATGATATAAAGCTACAAACATGAAGAAAAAAGTGCAGATTGAACTATCAAGCAATACATCCTACCAGCAGTGTCTGTCCTTGGGAAATGAAGAAGTGACCTGATACAACGATGGTGAGAACGAGAGACCCAGTTTCTTTACTGGATTCAAAAACCTTGAAGAGAGAGAAATGTGAAAAGTATTTCCATGAAACATATAAAAACAATTCTGAAAACATTCTGCTTCCTCTCATTGATGTTCCCCTCTGAACCCTCCTTTGCATCTACACTGTAATTGGTTCTCTTATATTTTTAAGCTTCCTTCCTCTGTGTGTGTGTGTGTGTGTGTGTGTATGTTTGCTAAAAGACAAAATTAAAAACCAGTATTTCAAAAACACAAAGACCAGATTATTAAGGAAGATGGGTCCTGAGCTATACCTTTTTCAGTTGTATTTCAGTAAATCATCTCTTCTAAGGGTCTAAATTTCCTTCTTACAAAATGAAGATGACTCTTTCCAGAGTCTATGAGATCTCAGAGCTGCAGTGTCCTCAGCAAAGTCATCCACCTTAACCACACCACAAACCCATTGCCTTCCTCTCCTGACCTCCTGTGTGTCAGTGCCACTTAAAGCAGGGGCCACAGGTACAGCTACCATACCCTCTGGGTGTGACCTAGTGATTCCTTGGGGCCTACATTAATCTTCTCAGGGGTAGGTCCACTGAAGAGTTTGATCTGAAATCACTTATGTTGGTAAATCTTATTCTCTCTTTCATCTTGAGCCTAAATAAAAGGCCCTGGATTTACCCCCATGGTAGATTATCTTGTTAGATTTACTTGGTATACCTTCCCAGACTACTGAGTTATGGAGAGAAAACTGAGGCACTTAAACCAAAGTGTCAGGGAAGACATGACCAAACACATCTAAGACAATCAATCAATCGGGTCTTAGGGGACTGGGTGAGTAAAACAAAACAAATAACAAATAACACTGTCAGGTAAACAACCTTGTACAGCACACTTTAAAGTTTAAGTAATTAATATACAAATAACTCTAGGAATGTTTCTATAAGGTCCTGCAATCTCTACTGCTTCTTATGTAGGTTTCAGAATTTTAGTTATATAATTAAATTCACAATTTCCCAAGTTCTAATTCATTTTAAACCCCACACTTTAAAATCAAACATTTCAGATCTTAAGAGAGATGCTGTGAACCCTGCCTACTTTCCCTGGAGCTGGAGCTACAGGCATTTGTGTGCCACCTGACATGGATGCTGGGATGTGGACTTGGGTCTTCTGGAAGAGCAGTAAGTGCTCTTAACCACTAAGCCATCTTTTGAGCTCCAGTTTACACAGTTTTTATGTTTGGCTTAATCAATGTTGCTGCATGTGCACACAGGAACATGGGTTGTGACTAGACATGTACACACAATTTCATTACTGTAGAATATTACTCTACAACTATACCATCTTTTTTTCCATTTCTGATAGTGATTTTCCCCCCAGGTGTAGTTTTTGTGCACAGTACAGTTATGAATGTTCATGTTAGTCTCTTGTTAGACAGGAATGTTCATTTTAAAGATGTCAAACTACTTTACAAGTGATGACTATGGGCTTCTAGAAGAGTCTGTACAGAATTCTCTTTAACTGAATGCCTACAACTGCTCAGGCAACGTCTCTATATAAACGGGTCACAGTGTGACAGACACCTCAAGTTTAACAGTCCAAACCTTGAGTTCCTTATTGTCTCCGACATTACACTGATACTCTCTGACTGCCAGTCTTCCTGCCTCATAAAACAAGTTATCCTTCCAGTTCGTTAGGAAAAAAACACAGAATCATCCACCTCTCCTTTTGCAATATCCAAATCCAATCCATCAGTAAACCCTTCATTTCAAAACACACAGAAGCAGACAATTCTTCTCAGGTCTGGTTGTTTATTGTTATCATTGCCAGCTGGATTACCATAACAACCTCCTGACTGCCTTCATTTCTGTTCTTACTTCCTCCAACATAGTTTATTTCCAACTGATAAAGTAGCCAGAGTGATCCTGTAAATACTTAAGTCAAATCTTGAATTTCTAGCTCAAAACCCTTCAGTGACTCTCCCCATTCCAAACTCTCATTGCCTCTCTGCTCTTCTGTCTGCTCTCTGCCCCACCGCCCATCGGCTCCTTGTTGTTTCCTGAACCTGTTGGGCTTGTTTAGAGTTACAACCCTCCATGCTTTCTGTGTTGTGCTAGCTGGGGGATCTCAGATTCCTGCATACTCTCTAGATCTAGCTTCAGTGTTACCCTCCAGTCCACCCCTCCTCCCCAGCTTTATTTTCTCCACAGCTCTTACCGCCCACCTTAAAAACTACTCTATTGTTATTTATTATTAGTTGTCTACCCAAGCAAAGTTTAACCTCCTAGAAGACTGAGGTGGACCGCTGCTACATATCCTATATATCCTAATGTCTAGGACAGTGCCTGACACTTAGGACATATACAGTACCTTTTTCAATGGATAAGTAAGTTTGAAATTCCCCCAAAAGGCACCATATTAAAATGTACCATTTTCAAGGGGAACAAAGATGTTTTTAAAAAGAATTCATCATTAGAAGAACTGCACTGGGGAAAGGAGTTAAAAGCCATCCTTCAGGCAGAAAAAGGAGAGCAGATGAAAACAGTTCTCCATAAAGGAGTGCAGAACACTGGAAACAGTCATCACCTGGGTGATTATATAGGAATTCCTTACTCACAAATCATTAAAAGCTGATAGCTGACAATGTAAAGAATACTTAATCCAAATGAAGGAAGAATAGATAGGAAAAAGACCGTGGAATGGCTCACTTGGTAAAGGCACGTGCAGCCGAGATGGAAGACACTGAAGTTCAATGCCCAGAACCCACATGATGAAAGGTGCAAGGTATCTGCCTTCCACACACACAGTGTGGCAAACCTCCCCAGTGCCTCCACTTCATCAAGTGGAGGCACATCATTAAATGTAAGCCAGAAGCAGTGGTGTATGTCTTTAATCCTAGCTCTTGGGAGGCAAAGTCAGGCAGATTTCTGGGGGGTCTGAAGCCAGCCTAGACTATGCACTGAATTCAGGTCAACAAGGGCTATACAATGAGACCCTGTCTCCAAAGAAATTGTTTTCAAAATAAACAAAAATAAGGAATTGATGGTCCAAATAAATAAACAAACAATAAATAGCAAATGACAAACTTAACTATCAATAACCACAATAAATGTAAATGATCCAAACATCCCAATTAAAGTCAGAAGCTTTAAAAACTTTTTCATACAATATATGTTGATCATGGTTTCCTCTCCTTCAGTTCTGCCCAAATCCTTCCCATTTCCCTACTCACCCAACTTTATGTTCTTTTTGTTCTCTCTTTCAAAAAAAAAAAAAAAAACAAGAAACAAAACTAAAAATCAAACAAGCAAAAGATCTTGTCTTACTTAGGGCTATTATTGTTGTGATAAAACACCATAACCAAAAGCAACTTCAGAAGGAAAGGGTTCATTTGGCTTACTCTTGCACATCATTGTTCATCCAAGAAGTTAGGGCAGGAACCTGGAAGCAGGAGATGATGTAAAAGCCATGGAGGGATATTGCTTACCAGCTGGCTCCCCATGGGTTTCTCAGCCTGCATGCATGCATCCATCCATCTATCTGTTCTTCTCTCATACATTACATCCTGATCAAAGTTTCTCCTCTCTCCACTCCTCCCAGTGGTTCCTCCCAACTGCCCAACTCTCCAGATCCACTCTTGTTTCTCTTAAAAAAAAAAAAAAGAGCAGGTCTCCCCAGTGACATCAGCTGAACATGGCACAACAAATTATAATAAGACTAGGCACAAACTCTCATATCAAGACTTGACAAGGGAACCCAGCAGGAGGAAAGAGTCCCAAGCACAGGCAAAAGTGTCAGAGACACTCTCCACTCCCACTGTTAGGAGTCCCACAAGAACACCAACCTACACAACCGTAACTAGTATTAAGTACAGGACCTAGCTCAGACCCATAGAGGGTCTGTGATAATCTCATCAATCTCTATGAGCCCCTATGAGTCCTGCTTAGTTGATTCTGTGGGCCATGTTCTCATGGTAACCTTGAACCCTCTGGCTTCTGCAATCCTTCCTCCCCTTCTTCTGCGGGATTCCCCTGGTTCTGCCTAGTGTTTATCTGTGAGCCTCTTTCTTACAGAACCCTGAACCACCAGCTCAGGGACAGCACCATCTACAATGGGCTGTGCCTTCCTCTCTCAATCACTAATTAAGAAAATGCTCTAGAGGCTTGCCTACAGCCCCATCTAATGGAGACAATTTCTTTCTTTCTTTTTTTCCTTATTTTTTGAGACAGGGTTTCTCTGTGTAGCTTTGGAACCTATCCTGGCACTCACTCTGGAGACCAGGCTGGCCTCGAACTCACAGAGATCTGTCTGTCTCTGCCTCCTGAGTGCTGGGATTAAAGGTGTGTGCCACCAACGCCTGGCAAGACAGTTTCTTAATTGAGGTTTCATCCTCTCAGATGACTTTAGCTCCTGTCAAGTTGACATAAACTGTCCAGCACAGTTGACCCCTTGTCAACCTGACACACAAACTCATTACTGATAAACCACCTTTCCTTTCTTGTTCATCTCCAAGATCACATATAATATCATTAATACCAACATCACAATATAAAACATTTTACAAACTTAACTTCCACAGTCTTTACAAATTAAAACCCTTAAAACTCGGTCTCTTTAAAAATCCAAAGTCTCGCCAGGTGATGGTGACACACACCTTTAGTCCCAGCATTTGGGAGGCAGAGGCAGGCAGATCTCTGAGTTTGAGACCAGCCTGGTCTACAAGAGCTAGTTCCAGGACAGGCTCCAAAGTGACAGGGAAACCCTGTCTCAAAAAAAACAAACAAATAAATAAAAAATCCAAAGTCTCCTTTAAAACCTAAAATCTCTTTAAAAATTCAATCTCTCAACTGTGGGCTCTTGTAAAATAAAATAAGTCAAATACTTCCTTACTTCAAGAGGGAAGTACCAGGACACGGTCACAATCAGATCAAAGAAAACTCGAAAGTGCAAATGACTCAATGTCCAATAGCTGGGACTCACTCACAGTCTTCTGGGTTCCTCCAAGGCACTTGAATCACTTCTCTGATTCTGCCCTCTTTGCACACACAGCTT